CAAACCAAACCCACGGCCGTCAGGTGGCGTCTGGCTCACCGTGACCCTGGAGGACAGGGCAGAACTGCCCCTGTGGGCTTCTGAGACGGTGACTCTTTATGGAGCGGAAAGCCTCACCCTTCTTCCTCAGAGCGGCTGGTGGTTTAGAGCTGCTGACCTTGTGGTGAGCAGCCTGAAGCTTAACCTACTGTTCCACCAGGGCTCCTTCTGCCGTGCTCCTAAGAAACAATCCATCCAGGTGCCTCTATAGATTTACCTAACCTAGATTCCATACAGAGGAAACCAAAACGGAACGGTCAGTCTTTATGGAAACAGGCAGCCTCATCTTTCACCCAAAGAAAGACAGGCTGGTGGATTTGAACCATCGACCTTGCGGTTAACAGCCCAATGCCTAACCCACAGTGCCTCCAGAGCAGGTTGGAAAGACCCACTGTTCCACGACAGCTCGGACTACTCTCTCCTCTCAGGGGAAGCCCTGGGCCTCGACATCTCTCCGACGGAATTCAAAACCATGAGAAACAGTTACTGTCACCGCAACTCCCAGCCACGGTGCCCGCCCGGGCCGGGGTGTGACAACAGAGCTGCGCCCCAGGGGGTTTCCCGAAGCTGGTTTTTCTGAAATGGGTCACCAGGCCTTTCTTCTGAGGTGCCTCTGGGGGGACCAGAAACCCCCCAACCTTTCAACCAACTTCACCATTGGCACCACCCCCAATGGACTCCCCGTCCTGGGCCGTTAGAAAGCTACGTCTATGTATGCTGATGTGAAACAGACTTCCAAGCTCCTCGCCCCTGGGTGGAAACAGTAAGCCTGGTTATGGAGTGAACTGTGTCCCCTCCCGCAAAACACACGTGCCTGTCAAACATGGCCCGGTTTGGAAGCTGTAGCTTTCTTTTGTGGTGGGACACCAGTGGGCATGGGTGGAGAGCCTAATCCCTCCCGAGTGGCAGATAAAAACAGGTGAGAAAAACGCACTCGCACCGGGGCAGGGGGTGGTGGGGCGGGCAGATACCCAGGAAGGAACCTCTCCAAGCCAAGGGAAGCCAAGGGCCACCAGATGGTAGCAGAGCAGCCACCGACCGTGGATGTGGGCCCGTACATCTGTGGGAGAAAGAACGCGTGTTCTCTGGGGCCACCACCTGCGGGTTTCTATCAGCTCCAGGGAGGTCGAGTCCAGCGGCCTGGGCTCCTCCCTTCAGGGACGAGCTGGGAGCCAGTGGGCCCTGTTTGTGTGGAAGGCACAGCCTCCTTGGGCCATGTCCCCCGCCCTGCACCCGGGCCCGGGCCCATGACGTACTAATGGTCTTGATGTTCCCCTTGCCTTTGAGGTTCAAGACTCCAAAGGACTCTCTTGTGGGCTAAACTATAGCTAGGCTGGGCCACGATTCTCCAGTGTGGCAGCCACCTAATGAAGCACGCACCTTCCGTGACGGGCTTGGATGGGATCAGCCAAACTGCTGCAAGAGAACCAGGATGGGCTTCCACACCTTTGGCTCTGGCCACACGTCCCCATCAGGTATGGGGTGGGTGGGTGTGTGTGCTTCCCAGAGATAAAAGGAGAGAGTCGTGACCTCCGACCACCACCAAGAAAGACCAGCCAGGAGTGAACCTGGGGTCCCTATGCTGAGAACCTCCTAGACCCAAGGAAAGGCCGATGCCAAGGCATGTGGAGATGCCCAAGAAACACGGGGCCCGGATTGTGGACAGAAGGAAAACCGCCTTTGCCTAGACTCATCAGAGAGAAGGAGCCTTCCCCTGGAGCTGGGCCCTGAATACGGACGGCAGCCCTACACTGCGAGAGAGCCCTTGGTTGTTCAGCCCTCACTCGCCGTGCTTGTCACAGCAGCACAAGATAACTAAGACAAGCTCGCTCTGGGGGCCGCTGCCCGGCTCCAGAGACAAAGGAGGGGCATCTGGTCCCATCCGCCTTGACCCTGAACCTTCTGCCCTGCTCCCGGGAGGCTTCAGTTTGTAACTTTCCCTATCGCCACTCTGAAATAACCCGAGAGAAGGTCTTTGTCGTTCTGAACTCTGCCTGGCCTGAGAGCCGTCCCCAGATTTCCGCGTGCTGGTCCGGCTGCTTCCCCGGCACTGAGGGGAACCGTGGGGATGTTAGGCCAGACCGGAGCCCACCCTAACATGCCAGCAGTGTCCCTGTCGCTCCTCGTCCTGGACACAGGGAGGGACACCACTCCGCTTGTCCTGGACCCCAAATCCCGGAGGATTCGAGCACAGCCCTAGATCCATCCTCTTTACCCACTCCCCCAGGCAACACGCCTCTCTTCACAACAAGCAGGTGGAAGGGAACACCCAGGACTTGGGGGCCAGATGGGCCAGGCCCCAGCCCCAGCCCCGCACAGCCCCTTGGGGATCAGCCTCTTTACCGAGTAGGCAAACGAGGCTTCCCAAGCTGGGAACACCCACAACCGAAACCCACCACCACTGGGTCCATTCTGACACACAGCAACCTGCACAGGGCTCTGGGGCCTGGTCTATCGTTTTGTTCGTCTGTTTGGGGGTGGGGGGTGTCAAGTTTGGGTTCCCTTTTCCCCCAATAGTTTTCTTGATACAGTCTTCTTCACCTGTCGTCCAGTTCCCTGGCTCGGTCGCTTTGACAAGAATTGTTCTATCCATCGTCTCCATCAGTTCTCAGGGCCCCTCCCTGCAGACCGGGAAAGGAGCAGAGAGCCATTCCGACTGGCCAGACAAGGGAGTCCTTCGCCTGGGGTTCCCGAGATGGCAGCTCCTTACAGGAGCAGGAAGTCTTGCTTCTCCCCTGGGGAACGGCTAGTAGCGTCTAAAGGTTGGCGTCGGAGTTAGCAGCCCAGCAGGTAACCCCTGGACCCCCAGAGCTGCTGATGTCCTCAGAGACATGGAAATCACAATCACAGCGAGTTTCGACGTCACACCTTCTGAACCCTCAGACCAAACCCGCAGCCACTGGGTCCCTTCCAACTCATAGCCACCCAGGCTATGGGTGCAGACGGCCTCCTCTCTCCCCCAGAGCGGCTGGTTTGAACCGCCGACCTTGCCGTGAGCAGCCCATCAGGCCGTTTGGAGACCCGGTGCACTGAGCAGGGAGAAGGGTCCCATTCAGACACTGGTGTTGTAACTTGGGCAGTCACGGAACCTTCCAGGGTTCCGTCTGCCACCTGCTCTCAGAGCTGCTCTGTGAGCGACTGACGGGACAGGGCGGGCCCACAAAGCTGGCCCTGGGGCAGTGTGGGAGAATCCTCGCCTTCCACATGGGAGGCCTGGGTCTGATTCCAGGCCGGTAGGTCTCACGAGAGCCCCCAGCCGGCTGTGAGTGGTTACAGAGAAGTGTCACACGGAGACAAGCGCGGGGAGAATGGCCCTACTGAGGGATACCGTCTGGAAAGCCGTCCGTAAGAATCCCACGGACTGCAACGTCTGATCCACAACCCATCGTGGGGTCGGCCTGGCGCAGGACCCGGCTGCATTATGTCCCGTTCTGTGTGGGGTCGCCACGAGTCAGGGACTGGTTTGGGGAGAGTGAAAAACAAAGGCACCGGGAGAGGAGAGGCCTCCGGCCGACGGAACAGGCTTCCACGGAACAGGCTTCCGGAAGCCCGTGACTCCCCAGGGCCCAGCCCTGACACCTGTGGGTCGGCCTTTTCTGAAAGGCTTCCCAGCAGGCTGCGGTCCTTGCTGGAGAAACGGCCTTTCAGTTCCTTGCAGGAGACAAGAGTCTTTAGCTCCCAGCCCAATCCCACTGACCTCGCTGGCCCATTCAGTACCCTGGCCCTGGGTCTCCTTGTCTCGTCTTGAAGACGGGGCAGGTATCTGGAGGTGGGATCTCTGGCTCTGTGAGAGTCACCCACAGGAATATGAAGCCGTAGGACCCCCATCTTTAGAATCCTGAGCAAGATCTGGCGTGCAGTCCAACACGCACCTTCCAGGTAGAGGACTTGGAGAGCAGCCTCCAAATGGAACGTTTGGCTGACTGCCTCCAGGAACTGCCTCTTTGCGTGAGACTCGAAGCACTGGGTATGGTGCCCGGCTACCATGACGCCTCCGCAGTGTGAGCAAAGATTCCGCGGAGGAATCCGGATCAAAAGGGAGGGCATGTAGAACAGATGTCCAAATTCTCCTGGAAGCCAGACTTTCCGGAGTGGCTGGATCAACCTCCAAAACCTACTGCTTCGAGATCATCTTTAATCGTTAAACAACAACACCCCCCCCCCTGCACTCCTCCCCCACAAAAGAATCCCCAGATGTCATCTTTGGAACCCTGTTGACATAGTGGGCTGATCACTGCAAGGTCGGCAGTTCAAAACCACCAGCCGCTCTGCAGGAGAAAGATGAGACTTTGTATTCCCACAAAGGGTTTAAGTCTCAGAAACCCAGAAAGGGGGCAGTTCTACCCCCTTCTTTGGGGTCGCTATAAGTCAGAGTGGACGCGGTGCCAGCGCGTGACGCTACCTTTAAAGCGAGCAATGGTTTGTCCTCATAGACCAGGAAGGTCTGCTTTGAGCCTGTCACCACATGGGACCAGAGACAACCGTCCACGCAAACGCTCCATGGGACCCTCGAGTTTGTGTCCATTAGGGAGGGACAACACGGCGGGATGAGAGTGGCCTCACAACAGACAGAAGTTTGTCAGTGTCCCCGCATCGTTCAGACAGACACTGCTGGACAGGGCCCCCTCTGGCTACCTGTGTTCTCACCAACAACGGAGACAGATGGAGTGGGCTGCATGCTGGGCTGCTAACCACAAGGGCAGCAGTTCGAAACCACCAGCCGCTCCTCAGGACAAAGATGAGGCTGTCTAGTCCTGTCGAGAGTGACTGCCCTGGGAACCCAGAGGGGCAGTTCTCCCCTGTGCTACGGGGTCCCTGTGAGCCGGCACTGACCCGCCGGCAGCAAGTTTTGAGCTTTCTGAAGAGGAAAAGAAAGGGGAGTCCGCAAGCTCTAATACCTGATTCTGGTTTGGGGGATGCAGCCGGGGTTCTCCCCCACCCCCATGCTCCGGCCCAGTCACCTGAGGGCACAGTGGCGGGTGGGCTGGCTGGCACCGGCACCGGGGGCTGCGGGGCCCCTCCGCTCTCCGTTATCAGGCACTGGTTGCTGCCGCCATGCTCCCTCTTGACCAGGATCTCGGCGGCGCTGGGCAGCGGGATGGGGTGGCTGATGCCCAGCTCCTCCTCCTGGGCCTGCTGCCTCCTCAGGGCCACCTGCAACACAGGGACGGACAGAAAGTCGCTCGCCGGCACGTGGAGTCACATGTAGCTGGATGAAACCACACCAGCCCCCACTGGGCCCAGGGGTCGAGGTTCACACGCTCCGGGGACCAGGTCCAGGAAGTTCTGCGAGTATTTTGTCCTTGTCACGATCATTTCTGCTTGAATGCTTTCCCTTGCTCTCCGCCACAAAGCCAGTGGTTCTGAATCAGTCATTGCTCCACACAAGAAAGAGGAGGCTGTCTGCTCCCATAAAGACTGACAGTCTCAGAAACCCAAAGGGGCCTTTCGACTCTTCCTATGGGCTCACGGTGAGTCGGAACCAGAGGAGGGGTCCCCTTTCGCCCCTGCCAAACCATCAAACAATGTCCCCGCCCCTGTGTGACATCCCTGCTTGGCTTTTCAGGATGTGGGCTTTAATTGTCCTTTGGGATGGACACACACCTTATATCTCTCTCACTCAGCACAACACCCTAAGTAGTTTCTCAGGCTATCAAGCCAGATAACTGCAATGTGCTGCCCAAGCAGAGAACAGGGTTCGAGGATCCAACACATAGTAGGTGCTCAGATAATGGCTGTGAGCCCCCCCAAAAGTGAGACCAGGGGCTCCCATGGACACAGGAGTGGGGGGGGGGTCACCATGTCTGAGTCATACAGCTCACGAGACCTCAAAGGTGGCAAGCACCCAGTGCCCGCCCACTGATGATAGAGAGACAGGGGTGGGCTATCCAAACAGCAGAACTTCACTCAGCCACAAGAAGGCGGGCCACCCCAGGGGAACCAGAAACACACAAAGCTGAGCAAAATCAAACAGACGCCAGAGCACACGCTGCCTGAGCTCACACTCGGTACCTAGGAGAGGCCCGTGAATAAAAGCGAAAGGTGGGCAGGAAGGTGGGGCGTGTAGGGGGCAGGACGCTTTCCTGAGGGGTGATGAAATCTCAGGACGCAAGCCCCACACGCGCAGCCATGGAGAGGATGCTGGCCCACTCGCTGGGACCCCACAGGGCTGTGGGTGTCTGAGGCCGCCTCTCCTTCCTGGAGGAGAAAGAAAGCCTCGTCGTTCTTCCAAGGAGCGGTTAGTGGTTTCCAACTGGTGACCTTGCAGGTAGCAGCCCAACAGGTAACCAACCACTATCTACTCAGGGCTCTTTGAGTTCTGGTTTAGGGAGACGAAACCCTTTAGAAACACAGTGTGGGGTGGTAGCCCAGCACGGTGGTTGCCTTTAATGTTGTGAATTGTATAGTTAAAAATGGTCAAAGTGGCAAGTGACATATCTAATTTTACCCTCTACCAAATTGTGTGTGTGTGTGTGTGTGTGTGAGAGAGAGAGAGAGAGAGAAAGAGAGAGCGAAACAGGCTACAGGGAAGATTAAGTATCCCTGTGGTTAAACCACGCTGCTACTAACTGCAAGGTGGGCAATCTGAACCCAGCAGGGGCTCGGTGGGACGTGTGTGTGTGGCCGTCGGCTTCTGTAGGATGACAGACAGCCTTGAAACCCCACGAGACCCACCACTCGGTCCTAGAGGTCCCTATGAGTTGGCACGACTTGACAGCGATGGGTCTGGTTTGGGTTTGAAGAGGAACAGGAGGCAAGAGGGCAGGAGGCTGTCTCCCTGGGATGGAAAGGGCACATGGGGGAAGGATCTGGGCACGGGCGGGCGGCACAGAGAAGTTACCAGAGAGGGAGAGGCCAGAAGTGGAAGAAGCCAGAGGTGGGCTGGGCATGTTAAATTCCAGGCAGATGGAAGAGTGAGCCCCAGCTGGGGACAGGAGAGAACCTGGCCCCCCACCCCCAGAAAACCACCCTGGTCCTCCTCAATCTCTCCCCTCTTGTATTAAGGGTTGGGGAAGGTTTAAACAAACAAACAAACTGAAGGAATTGCATTGCTTACTGCTTGTAACAAAAGCTCGACTTGGTGAACACGACTATTGGTGGTAATGGAATAAGACAAGTGCCCTGGGCACCCCTGGTCCAGATTCTAGTCCAAGGTTCACATCAAAATGGCCCACCACTTCACATGCAGTAAGATGACTATGATTTGAAACAACACACACACACACACACACACACAGAGTATAATGAAGACATGGCACACACACACACACACACACACAGAGTATAATAAAGACATGGCACACACACACACACACACACAGAGTATAATGAAGACATGGAAACCTGGAATCTCCACCAAGCCCCATCCGACTGCAGCTTGCAGGCTGTGGGATGGTACAGTGGCCCCTCATGGTCCACAACTTGACAGCTCTTCACAAAGGAAAAACACAAGCCCACTGCCATCAGTCAATTCTGACGCTTACAGGCCACACAGGTGCGGTTTCTGAGGCTGATAGGTAGGCTATCACGCAGGTACGCCTCAACTTTCCCCAGCAGAGTGGCTGGTGGGTTTGAACTGCCAACCCCCGGTTCTCCTTAGAATAAGGTGACCAGACATCCCGCTTTTAGAGGGACAGTCCCGATTTTTAACAATTTGTCTGGCGTCCTGCAGCATTTTTAAAAAGTCCCGATTTTTTGAAAGAATGCACAACAAGCTAGGGTATAAGGTTTTCAGCTGCCATGTGGCTATTTGGCCAGATATGAGTTTTACCAATGGTGTCCTCCTTTACCAATGTTAAAATCTGGTCACCTTACGGCTTAGAACTGTAATCTCACCTGGGGGAAAAGAGAACACGTCTCACTGCCACCGCGTCGATGCCGGCTCCTGGCAACCACAGAGGACAAAACAGAAGTGGCCCCAGGGGTTGCCGAAGCTGTGAATCTTTACTGGGGCTGAAAGCCTCCTCTTTCTCCCCAGGAGACGCTGGTGGTTTTGAACCGCAGTCCTTGGGGTCAGCAGCACAGGAGCAGGCTCCTCGGAAGTATAATATGATCCAGCCATGTCACTCCCGAGGAGGTAGCTCGAAAGCCTGGAAGCAGACTTGGACAGACAGGAAGACCCCACTAGTCCCTGCGTAACTCTTCCCAGCAGGTGGAAAATAGCCCACCAAGAGCTGAGCGAATCCGTGACAAATGGTTCGTCCACAGGGTGGGAAAACCACGGAGCCATGAAGCGTAAGAGAGTTCTGATGCAACATGGACAAACCTGGAGAAGATGGAGCACCCCACTCCCTTGCGATACCTCGGAGAGGCTGTCCAGACACACCTTAATCTGCGGTTACCAGACGAGAGGCCATGAACCTCTGGGAAGGGTGATGGGGAAACCCGAAACTGATAAAGACACACGATGGAAAGCATGATACGACATAGTTAACGTCGCTGATCCATGAGTGACAGAGGGGGGAAATAGGGAATGTTTTAGAACCTTTCTGTAGCATATTTACCAGTCAAGTCAACTAGGCCCTCAGCCACGATTCATAGATCGCTTTAGGGCATTTATGGCTGAAACTTACAAAGCTGATCAACGTGGGAGCCATTTTACTCCTAAGCACTGCTCCTCAACTCAGAAAATGTCCAATAGTCAACGTCTTAAGGTTAAATAAAGTCTCGGACTTTTCCTAACCAAGGGCTTAGAGGCAGACTCTTAAGGGTTTGGTCTGAAATAAAAATAAATCCAGGATCATAAGGCATATTTATATCCTGATTTACACGTTTCTTACCCATACAAAAAAAATGCACAGGTATTTACTGATTAAACATTGCATATGTCAAGGGCACTTCTATAAAGATCTGCCCTGCTAGACTGTAAAGGAAATACTAATTACGTTAAGAAGGGGAGGGGATGCTTTTAAAATCCATTGACATCCGAATCACATCTAAATCGAATTGCAAGCTCTTTTTACCAAGAGCAAAAAAGGAAAAAAAAAGTCTTGTTGTGAGTTTTTTAAATGAATTTATAGACCAGGGCCCCGTCTTCAGAGAGATGTGAGAAATACTGAAATTTCACATTCTTGTGGCAGTCCTGGTGACTTCTGTGTTTCAAACACACAACATTCCATGACATTTTGAGTAAATTTGCACCCTTCCTGCACAGCCTCCACACCAATTTTTTAAGCCAGCTAGATGCCTTGAATCTCTTATACCTGCCGCTTTAATGTAAATGTCCCTAAGGCGCTGATGACCAGCAAGCTCTCGCCGACAGGCCAGGCGTTCACAGCAACCACCCAGGTAGGCTTCACACCCACTACAAGCGGAAACTCTTCAACGAAAAAACAACGGATTCGCGTGCACGGTTGCAAACTCCTTTCGAACTCGCTGCAGCCCCTTTTCGGGCCTCCTGTATCCGAAGGTTTCCAACCGAGGATATTCACACCTTCCCGAACAAAAAGTAGCAGCGTCG